TAGTAAGTCTTAGTAACAGCCCGGAGTTGGGAAGTTGGCGATGTTTCACCCCCGTGTCTCGGAAAGCACGTAAAACTGTCGGTCCTGCGCCTTAACTCTCACTGGTCGTGTCGAGCAGTCGTCCCACCGGAGTATGAGAGTGACAGGAATAGAGAATTTACTTGTGTCTGCGCATACACTTGTGGACTATAATATTTCCTACGCAGTTGGCTAGTCTCAACGAGATTGGCCGACGTAGCCGGAATCGGCCAGGAGAACATCATCATCATCATATATATAATAACGAAGATACCTCTTTTTCGATAATTCGCTTTCGTTAATAATGTATTTATATTCTATTATTGCGCAAGTTTTAAATTTCATATATTATGGATATTTAATAGGCAAAACTTTTTAATTAAAATTAAAATATTATAAGCCATTCTTTATATCAAATTGTGTTTTTTTTTAATAATGTGCCCTAATTACTTTTTAGTGGCTCCACCCCGAAGGGTAAACCTAAGAAGCGGCCCTGTTCTTACATCTGCCGTCAGTGTTTTCACACCGGGGGCTTATTAAAATTTTACGCTCTTGGCTTTTCCGAATAGAATTATATTTGATTTTCGAAATATTAAATATCTCAGAGTTTCTCGGTTGATTTAGAAATTAAATCTCTGCCGTCTGGAACACTTTATCTAAATCGTTGAAGCGGTTACTTTTTTATATTAAATTAGTATTATAATTGCTAATTTATCATAATTATGTTGTAAATAATTCATTAAAAGTCTGTTTTTTGATTAAATCTGCAAACTTATTGAGTACTTATTCTACGTAATTAAATAGTAGAGAAATAAATATATCTTCACAGGGGTACATCCGGCTTTTGATTTGAACGATGTTATTCGAAAGAAAATTATAAATCGTAATAAGTGTATCTCAATTTTACGCTACTTTTTCCTTGTGGAGTTAACAAATGGAAGAAATTTGCATATTCGTCTCACTTCGACTACTTGGTAGGCCATAGATTCGAAATTTGTAAGTAATAAATATATATTTCACGCTCTTTATATTAAACATATAAACATACAAATATATATCTGGGATAAAGTGGGAAAAATATACACACTCAGGAATATTGAGTGCTTAAATTTTTTTTTAAATATATATTCAATCCTTCTAATATTTTTTTTTTTTTTTAATCTTTATTTTAAAAGGGGTTTGGTCACAAAGTGATCATGCCACCCCTATAGGAACAACTAAACATAAGGAATACAATTTCCAATAATCAACCTTATAAATAACATAAATTAAGTATTTCTATGTCTTAATCCGACTTGTACTACTTTATACAACATTCTTGACTGATTCGATATAGGATCGGCCAGAATGCTGTTAAAAGCTCCTATGTCTAATAAATTTATATTAAATCTTAATAAAAAAATTCTTCTTTCCGCTTCATTTCGGACACATTCAGCTAATATATGATGTACATCCTCAATTTTATTACATTCTGTACAGGCAGATGACACCGCCTTACCCATTAAGGAGGCAAAACTATTCAATGGAATGTGACCGGAACGAAGCCTCAAGGCTGTTATGATTTCGGACCTACTCATATTGGCACCAATAAACCAAGGTTTACGACATAAATTTGGCGGTATTGTCTTGTACCATATTCCTTTTGTCACAGATCTCTCGTCAAAGTATTCTTTCCACTGTCTATAACCATTCAGTTTAACAACACTTAAGACCTCTGTGTAGTTAGATAAGCACGCAAAAGGAACACCGTCAACAGAAGCTTCCTTCGCCAAACAATCAGCTATTTCATTGCCATCTATACCAATATGAGAAGGTATCCATTGTAAAGACACTTTTTTATTAGGTGATGTAAACTTATATATATTTTTTAAAATGTCATAGGCAATAGGTAGTCCCCTAAAACTAGGATTAGTACATCTTATTAAATGTTGGAGAGCGCTTTTTGAGTCTGTTAGAATTACAAAATAATTTAAATTAATGCTACTAATATATGACAATGCTTCTCTAATAGCAATCAGCTCAGCATGCATTATAGAAATATTACAATTTATTTGGAGTTTCAGAGAGCTTTTACTCTGTGGATCAAAAAATGCTACTCCAATTTCATTTTATCCTTTGACCCATCAGTAAACAAATAATAATAATTGGGGTATATTCTTTGAATTGCTTCATTACAGACTACTTTAAGATTATGTACGTTATATGTTCTTTTTGACTTATTAATTATATCTAACTTAGGTTGTATAGCTCTTGAAAAATCCACGTCGCCAATCCATGTATCGAAACTAAACATATCTAATTCTTTACTACATTGAATGGGGCTAGAAATAAGAAAATTATGGACCTGAGTTAATACAGGCTTTTTCTTTTTAGTCCAGTACGGTTTGTGGTTCAGAGTTTCGAGTTCATGAATTAATTCAATTATTTCATTATTTTCAAATGACCTGCACTTTAGCCAAAATTTTGCTCCTAAAAAATATCTACGAAAGGCCAATGGCTCAAGGTGGAGTTCCGATTCCATTACATGTATAGCTGTACTCTTTACAAAACCCCCAATAATTCGCATACAACAATTTTGAATTATATCTATTTTCCTTAAATGTGTATTTGCACTATTACCATATAAAAAGCATGCATAGTCCAGCTTACTACGAATAAGTGAAAGATAAAGCCGTCTCAAATGGGTTGGATGAATTCCCCATTGTGAGCCTGCCAATACTTTAAAAACATTAACATATTTTAAAACATTTATTTTTAAGCTCATTTAAGTGCTTTGACCATCTCATAGATCGATCTAACCACAAGCCTAGATATTTATATGTGTCGACTACGGGTAGTGATACTCCATCAATTTTTAAGTCAATATTATCTCGTTTACTGCCGGATTTAAAAAAAACTACTTTACTTTTAGCACTTGAAATATTTAAACCTATATCGTTTAAAAGTTTGGATACTAAATTTAATGCAGCTTGTAATATTTCAGTACCTCGCTGTGCATTATCACAGATTGAGTATAAGACGAAGTCATCAGCGTACTGCGAGATAAATACACTGGTTACGAGTTTACATATATTTGAAGTAACCATATTAAATAGCAATGGTGAAAGAGGATCCCCTTGAGCTAACCCTCGGCCTGAGCTTCTACAAATATTATGATTCTCGATTTGAATTTTTAAATATCTTTCTCTAAGAAAATTTTCTAAGTACGAGCAAATTTTAGAACCTACTCCTAAATTATCCATAATATGTAATAGACTGTTAACATCAACATTATTATAGGCGTTGTCAATATCAATAAAGCAACATAATGCACTGCGCCTGTTTGAAAGACCCGATTGTATTCTAGAAACGAGTGTGGTAAGATTGTGTAATGTAGAATGACATTTTCGAAATCCCGTAACACTTTTGGATAACACATGATTTCTTTCAATAAACCATTCTAATCTATTGAGTAAAATGCTATGAAAGACTTTACATAAACATGACATCATGGAAATCGGTCTAAAGGACGCAATGTCTTGTGGATCACGCCCCTGTTTTGGGATTGGTAATATAATAATATCTCGCCATTGTCGAGGTACAAAAGAGTTTGTTAGAAATTTATTATAAATTTCTGTTAATACTAGTTTACCATTATGAGGCAAATGTTTTATCATTGAGTAAGATATGTTATCAGATCCTGGAGATGTATCCTTAGTTTTAATGCATTTTTCAATCTCTAAAAGCGTAATAAGTGTCTCTAACTTCGTATTTGTTGATGTAAAAAATTGTTTATTAGGAACTGTAAAATCAGGTGTTAAGTTTCGTAATAGTTCATTAGCTTTCCCTTCGTCAATATATTTTCTTGGGCGTTTGTAGCCTTTTACCCATTGCATCTTTTTCCATACTTCACCCAGCGACAGAGACTCGTCGACAGATGAGCACATGTTCTGCCACGAGTGTGAACGAGCATTACGCATCCTAAGTTGTGATAGACGTATCTTATCCTGTAGCTCGGTTAGATTATCAGGTATGGGGTTACGTCGGAATTTTGCGAGTGCTAAACGTCGTTCTGCTACAGACTTGGAAAGGTTTTGATTCCAGTAAGGCCTCGGTGTAAACTTACTACATGGGTTATTGCATGTTATAATGTAGGGAATATAGATATCGGCTGCCAGATACATGATTTCTACAAAACTATCGTATAGGTGTTGCAAATCATTAGACACATTAAACTCTAAAAATAATCTTTCTAGTAGTTCTGTATAAGATTTCCAATCTGCTTTTTTAAAATTTCTTTGAGCTGTATTTTCTAAATTCGAAATAAAATATGTAGAAATTTTAATTATGCAGTGATCACTGCCTAGAGTTTCATTTAAAACTTTCCAGTCAAATTTAAGAGCTATATCCAAGGATACCAATGAAATATCTGGAGAGGACTGTCGACACGTACTATTTACCAATTGAATTCGCGTAAAATCCCCATTATTTAGTATTATAAACTGTTTATCTAATAAAGCATCTATAATTTGATTTCCCCTAGTATCATTTCTATTTGACCAATTTGTGTGATGCCCGTTAAAATCACCCAATAATAGCGTCTTTTTATTAAAACTAGAGAAAAGATGTTCCCAATCAGCTTGACATGTGTCAGCAGACGGAGGACAATAAAGAGAGATTATATTTTCAATGTCACTGCAATTGTATAGTTTAACTACCAAAATTTCAATACCTGAATTACGATGCTGAAATTCGAATATTTGAGATTTTATTGATTTGTGCGTTAACACAGCAACCCCTCCATATGAATCTGACCTGTCTTTTCTGTAAATATTAAAATCTGTTATTCTTAAATCACTATTAGGTTCTAGCCATGTTTCACATAGTACTGCAATGTGGATTTTTTCTTGAAGCAAGATATTTTCTAACGCAATTAATTTAGACCTTAAACTCTGACAATTCCATTGAATTATATTAAGTTTGACAATTTTTTTTTATACTTATCCATAATCATTGACATTTAAATACTCGATAAAAGCTCTGAGAATTGGCCAATCTTCTAAATTATCCACTACTGACAATAAAAACCACTCAATACAACATTTAATAACACTAATAATCTTCGCTTTTATCGTGACCCTCATAAATATTATTTCTTTCACTCTTCTTAACAATTCAACCACATCAAAGTCTCTCTTGTCTTCATTTGGTAAAGCTTGTTTCTCTTCAAAATTTGCATGATTACTTTCTTCGGTAAATTGTGTATCTCTATGATTCGTGCATTTACGTGATCTCGTTGTATAATTACTACTATTGGCCTGTTTTTTTTTACCTGTGTTTTTATTTTTAGTGACATCAGAAAAGGAAACAGCGTTTCGAGATTCATATGAGACGTCACACGTATTCATCGACGTCGCATTCAAGGCGGGAAATTCCTTGTCAACAATCCTTTCCTCCAGTTCTCTGTTCTTTTCTTGGATTGGTTCATCCGGCTGTACATACATTTCAAGAGCTTTACGATACGTACAATTAAATTCAGCCATTAAATCCCTTAGCTTTTTTTCTTTTAAGTAAACAGGGCACATTTTTCTAGATAAAGCCATATGGTTTCCTGAACAATTAATACACTTAAATTCTACCGTCTCACAATTCGCGTGATTTTTGCCGCATTTAGGGCACACAATTTTTAAAGAAGGACATTTTTTGATTTTATGACCATACTTCCAACAACGGGAACACTGCGAAACGGGAAATACATATCTCTCTACTTTTATCCTCATATCGTCAACATTCACATATGCGGGAAGAAAAGATCCTTTAAAACACAGTCGCACTGTTTCACATGGTATCCAACCGTATTCATTCAAATTTCGACGATTGAGACGGGACACAGCAATTAATTGAGCAGTGTGAGGACAAGTAATTTTATTCAAAATTTCATCATCAGTTATTTCTAGGTCAATATCCTTTATAATCCCATACGAATAACTTTTTTCTAAAGCTTTTTGTATTCGCCAATTCATATCTATAAATTTCTGACATTTTTCTAATTTCTCCGCACTTACTTCACTCGTCAAATCTACTCTAACTTTATAGGGGTTTAGGTATTTAACTCTTATTATATTCGTAATATCCTGTTCTTTAAACAACTTAGCTAAGGCAAATTGTTTTGATAATTTCTTATTGCCTGATATATAAATTTCCACTTTTTCGCTGTCCTTTAATCTTTTATCTCTTTGCCCAACAGTAGTCCATTCTCCTTCACTATCCTCTCTCATTCTCTTACTCATCCTATCATTTCCCTGCAGTTGTTCCAAACCCGTCATATCGGTATCACTTATTAATGATTCAACGCTTGACATTATTATTACGCAGTGATAAAGATAATAATTGTTGTTGTAATAGATGTAGGTAATTAACGCGCCACGCAGGTAGGCAGGCGGTCGAGGAGTGAGCCTCGACCGCCGGTAAAACGTAAACAAGTAATTAGTATAAACGACACGACTTTCTCGTACGAGTGCCGCGACGAGACTCCAATCCTTCTAATATTATAAACGTAAAAGTTTTGTGAAGATGTATGGATGTATAGATGTGTGGATGCCTGTTAGTCTTTCACGCAAAAACTACTGAATAGATTTTAATGATACTTTACAATAATATAGCTCATACATCTGAATAACACAGGCTTCTTTTTATCTGGGAATAATGTACGATTCCCGTAGTATAGATTTGTTTTGTTATAGTAAACCATAAACAAAAAATCCAAAAAAAAAAACAATAAATAAATAAAAAGGAACTGCACAGGAAAGTGCGTGATGATACAGAAATAAAAGAATTAAATCATTCACGTCACGTATCCCGATAAAATCCGGATTTCCGGATAAGCTGGGATAATTGGGCGGCTCGCCATCAAGAATACACATTGATATCGTTCGTACGTCGGTTAAAAGGTCGCAACACTCTTGGTAGATTTTGTCCTCCAAAACAGTTAATCTAAGTTTCGCGATATACAAGCTTTAGCAGCACCTATGTACGGCTATGAAGGCGATTACTAGACACAAACTTATGTCGTATACGGAAATGGGATTATCTTCTTAAGTAAAAGTTAAATTTAATACATTTGCGTGTTATGCATTTGGAGAAGATTTTGCTATGTTACTTGTTTAAATATGACCAAAGTCAATCAGTGAAAGGGAAAATTTGTTAGAATCCTCTAACTTTTACTTAAGTCATCATTTTTGGCTTTTTGAGTTGGTTTTAAATAAACATGCCCGAAAATGGTAAAAATACAACATGTTTCAGTCATGTGAACAAATAAGCACTAAGCCGATGGTTAGTCAGCTTATTTCGGTCATGTCACATAATGAATATATATATATATATATATCATTTCATATAATTGAATTGAATTCAATTCTTTTATTTCGTAGCTTCTAGGAAAATACACAGTGTATTCATAACTGACGTCTACGTACCTATAACCTTACCTATTGGTCTATTTATAACTTCAGAGATTATATATATATATTTTTATTTTGATTCTTTAAGTACACACATATATCGAATTTGCACATAATATAGAATAATGTTTTTGCCCCTCGTTCAAAAATGTCAGCAATGCATCTATCCAACGTCCCCTTACAGAGCAGTGTAATTATTTATATCGACTACCCTACATTTTCAATTGCGATTCGAGATATATTTACTCAGAATAAACGCATCGAAGTGGCCCTCGACGAGAGTGTTTGTACTCCACTCCCTCTTTTTGCATTTCCAGTATGCATGTACTGAAGCTATCGCATCATCATATATAGTGATAGCACACCTTTCTTTAATTTGCAAGCTAGGATAATGGAAAATGTAGCCAATATTGACTCTAGAACTAGGTTATGATAAACAATGTATGTACGGGAATTTAAAAATCAGTTGGGTTTTCTTTTAAGTAAAATGTTTATGGGTGTTTGTTAGAAATGGCATTTTTTATTGTTATTGGCATGATTGGCTTTGACTGTATCGCTGGAGGTCGTAGGTTCGATATAGTCCATATAAGTTTACAAATGTCTAGTAAGCATATAGCTATAAAATAAATCTTTAAAGGAGTGATAGAACTACATAATATGTTTTATCTATGCTAATATTATAAAGAGGAAAGATTTGTTTGTTTGTATCGAATAGGCTCCGAACTACTGAACCGATTTAGATGAAATTTGGTAAGAAGATATTTTGAGACATTGAAAATGAGGTAGAATAGTTATTATTCCAAAAATCATCCCTTAAAAGGGTGAGAATGGGGATGAAAGTTTTTATGGGGAATCAACCTATACCTTTTATTATATTCGGGAAAGAAAATACAAAAAAAGGTAACACACCTTGTGCATTAAATTTATGACATCGTATTAATTAATCATTATACATAGAAGTCCTCTGCATAATTTGTTAAAAGCCTTATCTATATCTTGGCTTACTTTACATAAATGAGTAGTTAATAGTTTTTCTAACTAGGTAGTAAGTAAGTAAAAAATTGTTAACATTTTCAAAAAAGCAACAGACATTTTAAATAAAACTCTCTTTTCGGATTATTTCGCGGATTTATTTTGATTTTTGACTCCCGACGTTTCGAATGCCTTACAGCAATCATGGTCACAGGAGAGAGACTAAGGTTATAGACGTCTCAAACACATATACTTGTTACAGACAGTGCCTACCTACTATTTTACAAAAATTATTTCATAAATTCAAAAATGGCAATAAAGTACCTTACAATATCTGTTCATTTTTATTTCTAAACATTTTAAAAAATCTAACATCTCCAGGTAAATTTCTAAAAAAAAATTTTCTAAGAAATCTATTGTTATCTGACACGCCGGCGTGTCCGCGGTCGTGGAGGGATTAATTAGTAGTATAATTACATATAGCAATATTATTTATTTAATTTTAGCTGTTATTATTATAAATATTACAATTTAAAAAAAAAATGTTTACTGTTGCTACTATTATATTATGTATAACCATAAAGAATATTAAACAGCATTAAAAAGCAACAGACAAAAAAAATCTACAGTTCTATTTGAAACACTGTACGTAACCAATCTGTATACTTATACTTTTTTATTATTAAGAAGGTTTTTTCTCGAAAATGTCAGATGTTAAGACCGCGTGGCATTAAATTTTCATAGCAGCACTCAAATCTAAAAATAACACCTGTTGATTTTGCACTTAGCTTCATGATTCATTCTTATAATTATTTTATTACGTTCGTGTGGCACAGTTTTATCTTTAGTGGTCTAGTGGCTAACATTGACAGCCGAGGTCCTGAGTTCGAGTCCTGGATTAGGCTAAGTTTAATTATTAGGTTTTTCTGTCAATATTTCTTAGTAGCAGATCGGATTTTGGAAGACTGCTTCTGCGGTGTTATCCTCATTTTATGCAGTAAGGAAACAAGAAAAGGAACATCCAAGGGATATATGTATGTAAATCACAAAGCTAAAAGAACTCTACCCAGTTAAGCTTTCTATTCGAATTAAATGAAAATATCAAGTTAAAGTTCGTGTATTAACGAACAAAATATTAATAACAAAATCCAATCATACCTATCCAGCGATATAATATTCGTTGCAAAACTAACTAAGAAAGTATCGTTTGGAATCAGAAAGTTTGTACTATTCTATATAATAAACACCCGCTATACTCGTACATTTTCCCCTTATTGTGTTACCGCATATTTACTTTTCCCCGTCTTACGGCAAATTATGTGAATTTCAGCAAAAGAAAATAACTGTCTCAAGTTTCATAGAAGGCAAATGAAGTTTATACAGTCAGTTGTGAAAGGAAAATGTAAAAAATAAGTGCTACGTTCGAGTAGGTCAATGTTTTTAAATAAAACGTAATATTTTCTTTGTTTCGCCTTTGAAAATAGAACTAATGATAAAATAAATTTTGACAACAAAAAAAAAACAAAAACACAGTTTACACCCACTGTAATTTATGTGTCGCGCCAATACTAATCAAAGCACCTCTAGTTCAAAGATTTTATTAGAAGCCATTGAACAGTTTTAACATGAGATCAACTTGATTAAATGAAATCATTGAACTGTAGTCTAGATTGCTGCCAAAGAAAAGTGACTTTTTAGACAGTCAGTTACAATAAATTAAATTTACCTTTTTTTTAATTAAGTTTCATCTTTGTTTGTTTTAAACTAGCGACTCACTCTTGCTGCGCTTGGGTTAGTCCTTAGATTTCTTCCCCATACAAACTTTCACACCCATATTCACTCTCTTAAGGGATGATTCCCGGGATAAAAACTATCCTATGTCCTTCCTAGGGTCTCAATTTATCTTCTTACCAAATTTCATCTTAATCTGTTCTAGAGTTTCGGAGTCTATTCAATACAAACAAACAAACAAACAAACAAAAAAACATGTTTTTCCTCTTCATAATATTAGAATAGATTTATTTTACGATACTAATTTGCTTTAAAGAAAATCTATATTAAAAATGCTTTAA